TGCCCGCCACTCCCCTCCCCTTTCCCAGACAGACCCTGGTTCCAGACCCGCCTGGGCAGCGGGGCCTCAGCCTGGAAGGACTGGCCCTCATCTCCAGGCGGCCACGGACCTGGTCCTTGGGATCTCAGACAAGTCTCCTCTGCAGTCTGTGCCCTCAGCCTCTTGCTGTGTCCCTCTGGATCAGGGAGAGCCGGAGGGGCCCCTCCAGCCCTCCACACCCAGAGGCTTTTGCTCTGAACCATCCAGAGCCACTGGCGGTGGGTGGGGAAGGAGCGCCTCCTGCTGTAGTAACTTCATCAACCAATTAAGGGAATCTCTGTCGTCCTCAGAGGGAAAGTGATTACAAGCTCTGCACACACGTCTGAAAGATCAGCACGATCATTACAGTGCATTACTCAGTTTGTTAAGTGTGCTTTAAAAATCCCACCATGGGATACATCTTCATTGCAAGGGCATCTGTTGTTTCTTACAAATGATTAGCCATCACGGAATCGTCAATTTAACTTTGTTGTGTGGTTAAGACTAATTTTTTTTTTCTTTCTCTGTCAAATATATGTGTATATATATTTTTTCTTTCTCTCTTCCCTCCACCCCACAGAGAGAAAGGGAGAGGGAGAGAGAAACAAACCAGCTTATTTTATTTTATTTATTTTTTATTTATTTTAAATATATTTTATTGATTTTTTTACAGAGAGAAAGAGAGAGGGATAGAGAGTCAGAAACATCGATGAGAGAGAAACATCGACCAGCTGCCTCCTGCACACCCCCTACTGGAGATGTGCCCTTGACCGGAATCGAACCTGGGACCTTTCAGTCCGCAGGCCGATGCTCTATCCACTGAGCCAAACCAGCTTATTTTAAAAGGAATATCATGGGCTTGATGATCAGAACATTCTGGGTTCACATTCTGAGAGCTGCATGACTGTGTAGAGCGTGACCCCACACTGGGCTTAATGCCTGGGTCTACCTGTGTTACTTGTGGAAAGTTATTTGTGTTGTCTGTGCCTCCGTTTCTTTTCTGTGAAGAGGGGGGTGTGTAATAATACTACTTATCCCACAGGGTTGTTGTGCTTTTGAAGGACATATGTGAAAGGCTTAGAGAAGGTCCTGAATGATAGTATCTGTCATTATTATTATTATTATTATTATCATTGTGATGATGATGGATGATGATGACGATGATATCAGGACAATCCTGGACAATGACCTTCTCTTAACCTCTCTTTCTGTGACTCTAAAGTAATGATAAGCTTACCTTCCATGGTGGACACTGTGACACACCACCCAGTCGTCCTTCCAACTATTTTAGCAACAGCTTTTAGAAGTTAGTCCCTTCAGGGATCTTGTCCGCTGCACTGCAGAGGAGTGGTCCTATCAGAGTCATGTCTTGTCTCAGTCCACATTCATGACTGATGAGTATGGGCCTGTGTGACCTTTTCATCTGGCCCAACTTGGGATAACTCTGAAAGACTAATTTTAGAGGCCTCTGTCACCGTTCAAATCCTCTCTCTGTCCATTCTTTCTTCATTTCCTTTTTTCCCACAGGTCTCGATCCCAAAGACACTTCTTAAAAGCATTTTACTTTCCAAATTTTATCTCATAGCCAACTGTCTTAGGAGCCCAACCTGAGACACCCAGCTCCACAGAATTATTGCCAAGATTAAGAAACAAAACAAATACAGTATGCAACATTATGGCTGGACAATACCCCCACTTACAACACCACAAATGAAATCTTTTGGGAGGGCTATTCTCTCCATTGTACTCTATGCCTTCTACCTGAAAGATGGCACCTATGACCAACTCAAATAAAAAAATTATTTATCTGGCCAACCTAAAGTCATTGTTGTTTTCGTTCAGGGTAGAGTTTGACAGTTAGCCCCAGGTGACAAGAGGGAGTTGGGTCCAGCTGGTTTAATATTATCAGTTTAATTCCTCCCCCAAATACTATACTTCAGGTTGAAAGGAAGGTCATGTGTCTCCAGGAAATGCCTATTCATTGATAGAGTTCCTGCTTTGTAACTCAACATTTTCTCACAACCACCTCCCCCTCCCCCCACTCCCCAAGTTCATTCATAATTCTAGTTGTTGCCTTTCTAGGAACCATGCATAATAACATGAGACTAGGCACTAAAATTTACATAGGGACTATCAAGGCTATTTCCAAAGCAATGAAATAAATACACATTATTCGGCAGGTACAACAGCATTACCTGTACTGATTATGAAGGTCATTTTTCTGTGCGTTGCTTGGGGAAATCTCAGTCGATGAATCTTGCTCTTAACTTCACACTTGATTTTCTTTGTGGCGAAAAGCAGGGACATGTGGGCACTAATAAACAATAAAAATAAATGATATTGGCAAGAGGTGAAGCCATCAACATCATTTAACAGGTTGACAAGGGATCACTCAACTTGCACTAGAGAGGGAAACGCTTGAAAAAGAGACCAAAGGGTGGATTGGTGAGGAATTCATCAGCATGAGCATCAGACAGATGCCCTGACCTTTGCTTGAGTGATGATTCTTTCAATCAGGTCAAGCCCCTGGGAATTACAGAGCACATGCTCCCTGTAGGGCTCATATTTTATTTACCATCTGCCAGAGTACGGGGAGCTTTATGGATGAGATAATCTCCCATTTACAGGTAAATACTCTTGGGGGAAATCCTGTATAATAAAACCCTAATATGCAAATTGACTGGTTGCTATGACATGCACTGGCCACCAGGGGGAAGACACTAAACACAGGAGCTGCCCCCTGGTGGTCAGTGCGCTCCCACAGGGGGAGCACCCCTCAGCCAGAGGCCAAGTTCATGGCTAGTGAGCACAGTGGTGGTGGTAGGAGCCTCTCCCGCCTCTGCTGTAGGCGGGTGGTAATGAGCAAGGGGTCCCAGACTGTGAGAGGGCACAGGCTAGGCTGAGGGCCCCCACCTTGCCAATATCATTTATTTTTACTGTTTATTAGTGTCCACGTGTCCCTGCTTTTTGCCACCCCCAGTGCACAAAATTTTGTGCACCAGCCCTCTAGTAAAATTATAATAATATTTATCTTAAACCTAAAATGAACCCACAAGAATTACAGGGAATAAGACAAAACATTACCATCTAGCTGACAGCACGTTTATTCTCAATTGAGATACAAAGTGTAACTAAGCCAGGGCTATAGAGTAATTTATGAGAGGTGAATTATGGGTGTAACCGTGCCCTCCAAAGCAAGATATGAGTACGTCCTAAATCCCAACGACACGTAATATGACCTTATTTGGAAATAGAGTCTTTTCAAACTTCAGCAAATCCAGATGAAATCAGACCGTGAGACAATAATCTTTTGTTGTCTGAAGCAAACCATTTGTGGTCCTTGGTTCCAGCAGCTCTAGAAAACGAACACAGTAGGTTTTAGAAACTCCTGTGGGTATGTACTATGTTCAAAAGGCATTATTGTTTTGCTTCTAGATTTAGGGAATCTTTTGTGTCAGTTGTTTTCCCCATTCAGCTTAGGCTCTAGTACAAACCTTGTGTTGAGGTCTGTACAGAAATGAAAATGGCTCTGAATGTTGTGTGAAGGATGCTGGAAAGGTCTCATGAGAGAAGGGAAAGGAGGAAGAGCAGGGAGGAGGAAGGAATAGCGGAGGTGGTGGGAACTGAGGTGAAACAAGGGGCAGTGGTGGAGCCCTAGCTGGTTTGGCTCAGTGGATAGAGCGTTAGCCTGCAGACTGAGCCAAACCAGTTAGGCCCACATCCTTTGTTATAGCAGCCCATATGTGAAGCATTCCACTCCTGCAGCTTTTCCAAGTCTATCTGAAGCCTCTTCCTTTCTGTGATTCTCCATCACACATGAACCATTCAAGGAGCACATGCTCTTAATTCCCAATACAATTAAAGGCAGTAATTGGTTTGGATATGACCTTCTCTAAACCCTACCAGTGGCCTACATTCAGGGAACAAGTCTTAAAGCTAACGTGGTAAAATACATGAGCCAGAGTGGCCTCCTGTGTGTTCTTTCTCGGGAAGGCCAGGCTGAGCTGGGCAGTATGTTTAGGGCAGTGGTCAGCAAACTCCTTAGTCAACAGAACCAAATATCAACAGTACAAGGATTGAAATTTCTTTGGAGAGCTGAAAACTGTCTCTCTTTGTAAGATTAAAGATATTAAGCATTGTTTCAAAAAATTAAAAAGATATACGCCTGCCCTAGCTGGCTTGGCTCAGTGGTTGAGCATCAATCTGTGAACCAGAAGGTCACAGTCAAATCCAGGTCAGGGCACATGCCCAGGTGTGGCTTGATCCCTGGTAAGGGGCATGCAGGAGGCAGCTGATCAATGTTTCTCTCCCATCAATGATGTTTCTCTCCCTCTCTCTCTCTCTCTCTCTCCCTTCTTCTCTTAAATTAATAAATATATTTTTAAAAAGATACATAAAATGTAATAACATGTGTACAGAGGTCTGAAAAACAACATAGTGTGTTTGAGACAATGAAAGAAATCCAGCAATTCCAATCCCTGCCATGAGGTTGAAGAAATAGGCAGACAGAGGTTTTGGAGGTGACTTTCATCTTAGTTCAGGAAAAAGCTTTAATTAATTTTTTTAATTTTATTTAAGTACAAGTGCTCTGACTCTGAACTTAGGGTATACCATGGTTGCCTCTTCAAGGAATCAAACATGTTTACTCTGCCTAGATACAAAGGCAATTCTAACAAATAATTGGCTGCACTTTATAAATAAACTAGAGGGCACAATCCAGGGTTTCGGGCTCAGTACCTAGTAGGGGGCGAGCAGGAGGCAGCCGATCAATGATTCTATCTCATCATTGATGTTTCTATCTCTCTCTCCCACTCTCCCTTCCTCTCTGAAATCAATAAAATAAAATACATATAAAATAAAATAAGACCTCCTTAGTCATGCATGTTTAACTTATTTCCAAGTCTTAGTTACCCGTGTATCTGATAATCATCTCTGCGTGTGATAGCATATCTCCCTGTATAGCTGATAGCTTCCTCAGAACTCCTGGGCCTCTTTGTTCCTTCCACTGAAGCAGGCCCCAGGGTCTAGGGTCAAACCAACAGATGATTCCATGACAGTTAGCATCCCTGACAGCAGTCTGGCCCCAATATAGGAGTGGTCCCATAGGCTATCTCAGCTTCCGCCCCAGCCAATGCCTTCAGGGATCACTAAACGTCTAGATTTTTCCCTTCTTCCGATGACTAATCAAATCCGAAGAGAGGCATGTGAGATTCAGGTGGTGGTCTCCGCTTGAACTCTTTGCTTGCCATGATGCACCTAACATCTAGAAACCTCCAGGCGATCAACTTGTTCATCTCTTCTTGCTCCTTAGTCTTCTTGGCATTAGGAATATTGGTCGATGACTGGGTTAGACTAAATATTGAAACCGGAAAAAACGTAAAAATCCACAGCCCATGGAAATATAGTACTATTTGGCCAAAAGGTAAGAACGATGCCCTAGGCCCGTGGTTGGCAAACTGAGGCTCTCGAGCCACACGTGGCTCTTGGGCCCCCCTTGAGTGTGGCTCTTCCACAAAATACCACAGCCTGGGCGAGTCTATGTTGAAGAAGTAGCGTTAGAAGAAGTTGAAGTTTAAAAATGTGGGCTCTCCGAAGAAATTCCAATCATTGTACTATTGGTATTGGGCTCTGTTGACTAATGAGTTTGCCAACCACCGCCCTTGGAAGAGGGGTGGAGAGGGAAGGTTCACCTTTCCTTGACTTCCATTTACCATACCAGCTTACTCGTTATTTGTTGGTGCCATTTCCTCGGGCTGCAGTGAGCCCCCTTTCATAATCAATGCAGCCACGGCAGAGTCCAAAAATCTTGCCATTTCTGATGTTTTGGAGACGTATTGAACATTCACAGATTTCCTGGCTGGACAGTTGAGAAGTTTTGGCAGTAGCAGCAGGGTGACCCAGCACAGCAAGAACAGAAGGGTATAAAAGAAAGGCAACGGGCAACAAGGGAAGTTGGTTAGACTGACAGCAGAGGCGAACAGGAGAAATTCGAGCGTTTCCTAAGAAACGAGTTCTGAGAAAGGGAAGGAGGAGGAAAGGAGCTTACAGAGATACCAAAATAGAAACGGTTTCTTTGGGTTCTCCCTCCCATTCGGCTCATGGTTTCCTGCTTCTTCATCACACACACACACACACACACACACACACACACACACTGCTTCTGTCTGGATTACATTATCAAATCCCCTCCCCCATTTCCTTTTTTTTTTAATATATTTTTATTTATTTTTTTTTTACAGAGAGAAAGGGAGGGAGAGAGAGAGCTAGAAACGTCGATGAGAGAGAAACATCGACCAGCTGCCTCTTGCACACCCCCTACCAGGGATGTGCCCGCAACCAATGTACATGCCCTTGACCGGAATCGAACCTGGGACCTTTCAGTCTGCAGACCGACGCTCTACCACTGAGCCAAACCGGCTTCAGTCCCATTTCCTTTTTTGACTTAGGGAAGTGAGGCCCTAGGTGGGGAATGAGCCCAGAAGAAACATCTGTCTCTCTCTCAAGATAGCGCCTGCTTTCCAACAGGTGACATGGAAGTGGTCAGAATCCTGCTGCTTGTGGTCCTCAGCTTGTCCTACTTCTACAACTGCTACCTGGGAATGGAATACACCTACATGTTCCCTCAGACGGCGTGCGTCATCTTCACGGCTGCCTTCCTCACTTGCTTCACAGGTAAAACTCCCTGGCTCCCCTCACACGGGCGAGGAGGTGGACTCGGAGCCCCACCCGTAGTTTCCGACTCTTATGGCCTTCCCAGATTTTTGGCTCCAATAATGCAGCTCCTGAATGGAACCATCCATGGACATGGGATAGGTTCTTGGATGAGGTGCCTCTAGACAAGGGTGGAGGCTTCGAAATTAGGCCTGTGGGGGAGTTAAGATGAGTAGAAGCATCACGGGTCCTCACAAGGGTCTTCCCCCTCCTTTTGTTTGGCCAATAGGGATCCTTCTGATCTCTGCCCTCATCCTGTATCACATAAGGCTCAGGCAAGGCAAATCCGTGTACTACTTGAACTACCATTTAACCTGGAACATTTCCACGGCCTACATAAGTATTTTCTTCCATTTTGCCTCCGGTGAGTGTTTTGAGGGCCTTTGATGAGTCAACAAGAACCAACCTCTCCCGGATAGAGTGAAAGGATGGGAAAAGGGAATGAGGAAAAAGTCCCGATCCTTGCATTGTAAGGGGCTAACATCCAAGTGGCCTCACGCTCTGACGACAATTCCTCTAGAGACAGAGCTGGAGAGCAGGAGCGGGTGACGCAGCCAACGTGCCGGCCTAAGAGGGCAGCTCCTTATCTCCACCTTTGCTACCGTCTTTCACACCCTCCCCATCTCAGGGTAGACTAAAGAGCATGCATAGCATGGAACGTTCATGTAGGTGTTGGGGCGGGGGGGCGGGACAGTGTCACCCCAAGGCAGTTTTAGATCAGACAAAAGCAATCTCTAATACTAAATGTTCAGCCTCCAACATTGGACACCCTTCTTTCTAAAAGTGGTTTTCTTTCTTTCTTTTTTTCTTTCTTTCTTTTTAATATATTTTATTGATTTTTTTTTTACAGAGAGGAAGAGAGAGGGATAGAGAGCTAGAAACATCAATGAGAGAGAATCATTGATCAGCTGCCTCTTGCACTCCCCCTACTGGAAATGTGCCCGCAACCAAGGTACATGCCCTTGACCGGAATCGAACCTGGGACCTTTCAGTCTGCAGGCCGAGGCTCTACCTAAACCGGTTTCAGCTAAAAGTGGTTTTCTTTTTGTTTTTTTTTGTTCATCCTCAACCGAGAATATTTTTCCGTTGATTTAGTTTTTATTTTTTTTATTTTTTTTAATTTTATTTTTTAGGGAAAGTGGGAGAGAGAGGGAAAGACAGAGAGAGGCATCGATGTGAGAGAAACACATCGACTGGTTGCCTCCTGCCCAGCCACTGACCAGGGCCCAGGCTGGGCAGGAGCTTGCAACCAGGCTACATGCCCTTGACCGGAAAGGTACCTGGGACCCTTCGGTCTGCAGGCCTACCTCTATCCACTGAGCCGTACCGACGAATGGCTCTGAAAGAGTTTTAACATTTCGTTTAGAAATCCCTCGCTCAGACGCCATGTCCCTTTTCAAAAAGAGCCCTCCGTTGTGTGTCGGTAGAGAAGGACTGAAACTCTTCCGCCCCCAGTTTTAGTCTGTCCCACCGAAGCATCCGACCTCCCCCCTCCAAATGTCTTGGGGCGAGGGGCGGTTCAAAAGAGCATCCCTGGGCTTTGGGTCGGCATCTCTCTGAGTCTCTCTGCCGACACAGAGGGAAATATCTCATGAGACATCCGTTCCTCTGTCGCCCTCCCCTGGCTCCTCTCTCCCACAGGATTCTTCTCTCTCCTGGAGTACCAGCGCCGCGCCACAGACAGCAGTCTCCCCTCCGAAACCGAAACCGCCAGCCAAGGGAGTGATTTCAGAATGCAGTCTGGGAGTTCTATCCAAGTTATTTCCTTACCAGAGACCCCCCCGCCTCCACCTAGCATTGTCCGTGTCCGCTCTCAGGAATCCAGGAATAGTGATATCCCAAAACCCACCCAAATCCAAAAACGCCGGGTGACCTGGGCTCTATGAGTGGATCATCCATCACTCACCTGTGCTCGTCTTAAGGAAAACAGTCTCGTGTGCACATTTCCGGGTGGATGTTCAACCATGTTGTCTGTAAAATGACCATGACCTGGTTGGAAATCGGTCAGAAAACCCAGACTATGGCTTTAAAAAAAAAATCCTTTACCTACTGAACTAGTTTTTTTCTATTGGAAGTCACCATTGAATAGCATTTGTTAGAAGGTAATAAATATTGCAGAATGAATATTTGCTGTATTGTTCATCGTGTACATCACAAGGATTTAGAGTAATGTCTATAACACCCTCTGGGTTTTGTTTATTTTGTGAAATGTTTCAAACATTCACAAAGAATACAAAATAATATAACAACCTGTGCACACATCGTCCAACTTTATGAAATTTTACCAATTTGCCCTATGAGCTTTATTTTTTTTCCAATTACAGTTGGCATTCAGTAAATATTATTTTATGTTAGTTTCATGTGTACAGCACCGTGATTAGACACTTATAAAATGTATGAATTGTTCCCCATGATAAGTCTACATAATTGTATTAACTAATGTCACCCCAGCAGATCCAATAGTTTTTTAAAGAAAAACAAAAGGAGTGGAAAATGTATGTCACAAAAATACTGAGAAACAAGGCCCACAAAAATTCTGGTATGTCTATGTTAATTTAGGTTAAGTGAATGTTAACAGTAGGAATTAGGAGATACAAAAGTCATTTTATAAAGATGATAGGGCCCATTTAACAGGAAAATATTAAAATGCTAAATCTATGTGAGCCTAGTAAAATAGCTTCAAAATCTATATGACGTATGAAAATTGCGATTAGTAAGTCATCCTTAATTTTAAAAAAAGTATCCTAACAGTTTACTGGTCCCTAACATGGACACACTTTATATAGATCTATAGATAGATAGGTAGATCTATATAAAGTGCAGAATGTGAGAAAATGACTGTCAATCAAGAATTGTATGCTATGCCATTACCAAGGATGTGAAATAACATTTGCTAATAGAACCTTCTCAAAGAGCTTACAAAATAACAAACTGCATCCTGTAAGGAACATTTGAGATACATGAAAGAATGGAAAGTTAGAAGGAAAAAAAATTTTTTTAAATATATTTTATTGCTGAAACCGGTTTGGCTCAGTGGTAGAGCATCAGTCTGCGGACTGAAAGGTCCCGGGTTCGATTTCAGTCAAGGGCATGTACATTGGTTGCGGGCACATCCCCCGTGGGCGGTGTGCAGGAGGCAGCTGGTCGATGATTCTCTCTCATCGATGTTTCTGGCTCTCTATCTCTCTCCCTTTCTCTCTGTAAAAAATCAATAAAATATATTTTTTTTAATTTTAAAAATAAAATATATTTTATTGATTTTTACAGAGAGGAAGAGAAAGGGATAGAGAGCTAGAAACATTGATGTGAGAGAAACATCGACCGCAACCAAGGTACATGCCCTTGACTTGAATCAAACCTGGGATCCTTCAGTCTGCAAACCAATGCTCCATTTACTGAGCCAAACCGGTTTCAGCTAGAAGAAAATTTTTTTTAATTTTTTTTAAAGCTATAGTGGACATGAAGAATGTCCTCCTGGGCTCAGGTTTAAGTCCTGCTTGTCAACAAGTCTTGAGTAACTTTATTTATTTTATTTATTTTATTTTTTTAAAGATTATATATATAACTTCAGAGAGAAAGGGAGAGAGAGATAGAAACATCAATGATGCAATAATGAGACAGAATTATTGATCAGCTGCCTCCTACTGGGGATCCAGCCTGCAACCCAGGCATGTGCCCTTGGCCGGGAACCGAACCTGGGACCCTTCAGTCTGTGGGCGGATGCTCTATCTACTAAGCCAAAGCAGCTAGGGCTTGGGTAAGTTAGAGCCATGGCTGATGGGTTGATGCGGACTTGTAATGGCAAACAATTCCTGCAGACTCCCCCCAGCATCTGTGAACAGGAGAGAAAGAACATCAGTCATCCGGGGCTGTGCCCTGAGTGCTGGGTACAGCTCAGCACGGCCTCCGACCGTGATGTGTCATCATTAGGCAGGAGGCTGCCTAGAATGGCCTTGCTCTTCCACATTGATTTATGCTTTTGCCCGACACTGTGAATGACTTGGCATATTTTATTAAGGACTTCAAATACTCTATCACCATGCCATCAAGTATGTAAATCAACAGCCAGTGGGCAGCCATGTGTGTACCAAATGACACTGTGATTTGGCTTGGAAAACAGCGCCTCTGTGTCCGAAGCAGACATCAAACACGTGAGCAAATACCATCTTCGTATCATGAGTCTTCTTCACACATGTTTCCCCCTGGAAGGCCCCTTTCTTCTATGTACATCTAATCATCGTAAGGGCTATTCGTGGGGCACCTGACCACTTCAGATGGTCGCTGCACACATTTCAATCATATTGTCAAAAAAAAATTTTTTTTAATGTATTTTATTGACATTTCACAGAAAGGAAGGGAGAGGGAGAGCGAGCCAAAAACATGGATGAGAGAAACATCGATCAGCTGCCTCCTGCACGGCCCCCGCTGGGGATGTGCCCACAACCAAGGTACATGCCCTTGACCGGAATTGAACCTGGGACCCCTCAGTCCACAGGCCAACGCTCTATCCACTGAGCCACACCGGTCAGGGCATATTGTCAAAATTTTAGTATGGCTTTCCCTGCTGTCTATGGCTACACTAGATGAACAGAGTGACACTGAATCTTTAGGGTTTCCTATATGTCTCTCTTCATCTAATTTGCATGTCCCTGGTCATTTTGAATCATATGGGTATCCAAATTGTGAGAATAAATTACCTTGAAAATACCTTGCTGCTGGCTTTGAAGGAAGATACGATAATACCGGTTTTGAAAATGTCCACCCATTTTTCCACGGAGAAGGAGATGGGCTTTTATATTAATTTTGCCCACATTAAGAAAAAAAGGAGTCACGCTCTAAACCTTTTAGTTAACACTTTAAGACAGCGAGCTGCAGACTTCCTAGTCTCCGTTTTCTCCATTTTCCTGCCACGGGAATATGGTAAGATTACACCTCGGACCCTTTTCTAATTGGGGGGGTTGGAGGGAGGGGCAGGTCCTGGCAAAAATGCATGCATGGCCTGGCAATTCTGATTATTAGAGAATTTAAAAAAAAAAAAAAAAAGTAAAATGCTTTGGACTGAGTCTCCTCTTCAAATGTTTCTTCTTGTCAGGACGAAAAGAACTCAAGATGACATTGTGAACTGAAGCAGACATCGAACACGTGAGCAAAAACCGCCTTTGCAGCATTCGCATCCTCCATGTGAACTATGGTGAGTTATGTGGTTGTAGATTGATGGGAACTGGGCCTATGCAGGGATGGGCACTAGGGTGGATTGGGGGATGGGTGGCTCAGTAGTTAGGATTAGGGAGCAGCCCCTGGACACTGCCTCCCGGTGACTCAGCCTCAGCTGCCTTCCCTCCTGCTACCTCCGCTCCAGATGCATATCTGGTGTGTTTGGCTGAGTCACATAGCAACCACTGTGATGAAGGTACAGGGTATACAGTGGGACAGAGATGGGCGGTTCTCCAAAAGATAGGGTAAAGGCCTCATTGTCAGGAGCAAGGAGAAAGAGACAAAAAGGCCTATTGCTGAGAAGCCTAAACTAATGTAAAACTGTCATGTGAAGTATCTACCTTAATACCGCTTGGCATCTGTTAAAAACTCTGGGTTAAATGCCTTGCATACTCGGTAATTCTTTGGGGGGCGGGGGGGTGGGGGGGGAGGAATTCTCTCTCATCATGGATGTTTCTATCATTCTCTACTTCTCCCTGTTTCTCTGAAATAAATAAATTAGAAAAATAAAACATATTGTTTAGAGTTAGCAACTATGTTGTATTATGTCCATTGTAGCTTTTTAAAAATATATATTTTATTGCTTTTTTTTTTTTTTTTTTTTTTTTTTTTTTTTTTTTTTTTACAAAAAGGAAGGGAGATAGATAGCTAGAAACATCCATCAGCTGGCTCCTGCACTTCCCCCAATGGAGATGTACTTGCAACCAAGGTACACGCCCTTGACTGGAATGGAACCTGGGACCTTTCAGTCCGCAGTCCAAAGCGGTCAGAGCTTGATCATAGCTTTTAGTGAGTGACGTTATGTCATATGGGATATTTCATCTTTGCAAACAACTGGGAAATGTTGTATCCTAATACAATAAAATATTTCAATTCTGAAACTTTTTTTTTGGGGGGGGGGGTTGTCTGAATTTTTTTTAATTTAAATTTTATTCTAAAAAAAATTAACACCACTAAAGTTCTGGGTTTAGATTAAGTATCTTAGTGCTGGTGATAATTAGAACCAGAATAGCATCATCCCAATATATCAGTGTCATTGATTTACTTGGTTATTATTGTCTTACAGTCTGAAGTCTCCACAGATATTCTGTTTGTGAAGGAAAGCCAGCATTCTCTCTCTCTCTCTCCCCCTCTCTCCCTCTCTCCCTCTCTCCCTCTCTCTCCCTCTCTCCCTCCTTCCCTCCCTCCCTCCCTCCACCTCAAGTCCATTTGTATTGATGCGGATGTTGTTGAAGAAAAAGTGCGTGGCCACTGGGTGGCGCCCAACTCTGGAGCAGCCCAATTGTTTACAAAGACGTCTATCTGTGTAGGCTCAGACCATTTCAGTTAGGAGAACTACCCTGGGGGGATTCCGATGAAGAAAAACAGGATTGCTGCGCCAGGCAGATTTAGTTTTAACTCTTGCTTGCTAATCCAGTGACTATTTCTGTCGACTTATCTGTAAACTAGGCCTGGTTTCAATGGGATCATGCAGTGGGAAGCATCGAATGTGGTGTCAATCAAGTTCGGGTACCGAGCCACTGTTATAAACTCCTCATCTTCCCTAACCAAGGCCAGATAGACCTAAGAAAAATGTAAAACAGACCAAAGAGTAATCCCAAACTCCCCAATACACTCATTTTGGTGCATCAGCGTATTTTGAATGCACCTGGAAAGCTGATGGATATTCTACTGAAACCCTTCACTAAGATTCTTGCCTGCAGGGGGAGGGGGGAGGGAGGGAAGAATGGGGGGGGGGGGGGGAAGAAAGGATAAAAAGCTCTCAGAACGATGACTGGATGTGGGCTCACTCTAGAGCAAGGCCAGGCCCCTTTCTGGGCATGAACTTTTAAAAAAATATATTTTATTGATTTTTTTTTTTTTTTTTTTTTTTACAGAGAAGAAGAGAGAGGGATAGAGAGTTAGAAACATCGATGAGAGAGAATCATCATCGATCAGCT